AAAGCGAAAAATAAAGCAATGCTTTATTGATTTACTATAGATATTTACAAGCTTTTATTTAACTCACTTTCTCTGTCGTCAGTCTAGATTTAAATGCCTGAGCGAAATTACTGGCGCTCCTAACTGTCAGATACGGTTCGTAGTTGGAACGTGGGTCAAGCCATGAAGACAATGCATTATGACATTAAATTTGACTTAATTGGATGCATAATTATTTTTTTATGAATTAATTGAAATATTGTCAAAATTATTAGGCAGTATTACCCTACTATTCCGCGCTACTATACACGCGTCAGCACGTTCAAGAGGCGCGCAATGGTTTTTAGTCATGCAACTCTAGTGTAAATAAAACAAGTAAAGTAAAACAAAAATCTTAAAAAAAACGTTTATGTAATAATGCATTAAAAAGGAGAAAATAAATAATACACTACTATTTAAATTACTATAAATTGATATATATATATATATATATATATATATATATATATATATATATATATATATATATATATATATATATATATATACCAAAATAATAAATATAATAAAACCAACGTTAATTAAATAATACAACAGTGTGAGCTGCCCATCCAGGGGTTACCTCCCACCACACACCTCCCCAACCCTTAAAACCTAGCAATTCATTCCCCACACCCCTATCCAATAAACGATTGTATTAACATGGTTTTTGAAATATATTGATGTTTATATAACTTGGTGGTGTTTCATGCTTTAACAATTTTCTCCGATATACAGACAAAAGAAAGATAATAGTCTCCAAACTGAATAAACCGGGAGTGATCTCCCCTAAACTTTCTCGAATATTCTAATATAACACTATGGGGGATGGCAACTCGGGATATAGACTTCTAGACATGATTTTTAATCCATTTTAAATACTCAAATTTTTACTTTCTCGTATATACGAAGTATAGAGAAAGTCTTGTAATCGTGCAAAAAAAAAAAATCGAGATTTTTACAAATCTCGACGTTTTACACCTCACTGATACGAAAAAACATAATTTTGCAATCTTGTCCGTATGTCTGTGTGTCTGTCTGTGTGTCTGTCTGTGTGTCTGTCTGTCTGTCCGTGTGTAAACACGATAAATTGAGTACCGTTACTGCTAGGTTGATGAAATTTCATATATAAGTATTTTATCAAAATCGTAGATCCGTATCAACTTTTGAGCGATTTCCGATAACCAGAAGTGGTACTTTTTCCACTTTGAATTTTTTAAAAGCCTATAACTTGAGTACTATTTCAGATAGATAAATAAAATTTCACATGTGAGTAAAAGATCTAATTCTCTACCTTCTGTTAAATTTTGAGTAATTTCCGTTGACTGGAAGTAGTACTTTACGCTACTTCCGATTTCTCAAAAAACTAATGTAAATTTTAAAAGTACTAATAATGTTGCGCACTATTATGCGCTTTTTTATTTGGCGTTCACTTGGTGTGCAATTAATTTGTCTACGAGATTTTATTCTTTTTTTTAAAACTTTAAGTATTTAAAATGGATTAAAAATCATGTCTATAGCACGAGTTCCCATCCCCTGTTATTTTATATAAGAATATTCGAGAAAGTTTAGGGGAGATCACTCCCGGTTTATTTTTAAATATAGAGTAGTAACAGACTACCTACAGGTCCTAACTCGCGACGAGGTACACATTTGTATTAAAACACAGATCTAAGACATTTTCCATTTAGGTGGGTTTTGCAGTAGAGTGGTTTCTTAAGTCGTGGACAAGTGATTGCGCTTATCTCTGTTGAGTAGCTATATATTCTGTCCCATATTAGACACATTTGTAAATATATGTCACAATATGGGCATAGAGATGATATAACGATAGCTTATCTTTGCGGACGACGCTAAACTTTGGCATCGACACCACGGCCTACAAGTTCAAATTCGGTCCTTCAGAAATGTTTGAAGTCTCTAGATTAAAACTACTTTTCTCTTTTATGTGCCTACTGACCACATCACATGTATTTGTTCTGAAAGCCTAAAAACAGAGGCACAAATATATCGTCTAGACTTGTGAGGTCTACAGATTAGGTATTTTGGCAGTTATCTAAGCCCTTGCCTGTTCTGACTCAAAGCCTTATTCTTTCTCTATCGACGCCTTGCGTGACATGAGATTGGGTTTTTAAGGCGGCATAAAGCTTTATGTTGTTCCTTTTTGAGTACACTAGATTAAAAACTAACGTTTTCAGATGCCTAAAGATGTTTAACCACTAATTAATCAGAATAATTGGTCAAGATTTCAATTCTTGGTTTTGGGACACGTTAGTTGCCGGGGTTGAGCTAATGTCGATAGCATAAGGACTGTACCTTGATGCGGGTGTTTTATTTGTTACCCATCCTAATAATTGAATGGTTGATGGGGCTTCTTCAAGGGTTTGATTTGCAGTAATATTAATGATATCATGCATGTGAGGCTTTTGTAAGAAGAAAATGCGTTAAAACACTTTTTAGTTATGCTTTTTTTAAAATAGGCCTATATTTTACGACAACATAATCGTAATGAACAATAAAATGAATTTAAACAACTTTAGAATACACCTGTTTCGGCTAACATGAATGTTATTCTTCAAACTAGTAATGTTAAATGTGTCTTTTTCGCATTTTCGACTTATAAGCAATACAGTAAATTCCGATAACGTCCATATGCATACAAGCAATGGCGTAGGCGAGGAGGGGTTTAATAGTGATTTAATAATGATACTTTCTTAACCCTCTACTGGACATCATTTTTGGTACCTTGCCCCCGGCAACTGGGTGGATTTGGATTACACCCAAGTTTTACTTCATAGTAAATGGCTTCAGTTTTAATTATTTGAGTTGGTAGCAACATTGACACAGTTGAAGTTATTCAGAACAAGGTGGCCAGGAGAAATCACATTAATTAGTATAAAATTTACCATTACTAACAATAGGCCCTACTTAATTGTTTAATTATGCTGGATGTTAAGCCTGGTAGGTATTTATGTTTACTAATTTGTACAGAAACAAAAAAAGGATTCCCAAACAAAGTTTTATTTTTCAGAAATAAAGAAAATTATACAAATCAATAAAGAACAGTTTCAAAAGAATTTGTATAAAAGTAATTATAAAATAGGAATATAGTATTGCATAGATAAAAATAAAATACTTGACACAAACAATATGAGGAATATTTTTTATCAGAGAAGAGAAAAATATATGATGTAGTTTGAAAATAATAATGTACAGAATGTAGCTCTTGCAGATTAAAATGAAAATTCTCAGGCCTATATAATTTATTGAGTAAATGAAGCAAGCCCCAAAACACTAGGCTAAATAATATGCATGGGACAGGCATTGAAAACTACAAATTGCATATAGTGAAGGTTACCCTATTTTATTGGCTATATCTACCACAGAAAAGATTTATGGCTTTAATACCTGCTTGTAAAATTGTTCAGGAAAAAGTGAAGTATTGTTAACTTTTTATGGCAGGCTAACTATGGGCTGTGTTCTGGGAACATGTCATCTGTAAGGGGCATTGTTCTCGGCACATGTTGTCATTTTTTGTGTTCTGTGAGTTCATGGAACATGTTGACATTATTTGGCTGTGTTCTGGGAACATGTTGCCATTTTGTGTGTTCTGGGAACATGTTGCCATTTTGTGTGTTCTGGGAACATGTTGACATTATGTGGCTGTGTTCTGGGAACATGTTGACATTATGTGGCTGTGTTCTGGGAACATGTTTGTTTCATTTTTAAATATTATAATAAAACATTTTTAGAAATTCTATATTAGGAATTGTGTATATATATAAATTTATATATTTAATAAGACAATTGGATGAATTATAATAAACAGCAAAAATTAATACTAATAGTTTCGCTGTCTGACAAGAACGCTCTGTCTGTCAAGAACGCTCTGTCTGACAAGAACGCTCTAGAGAAAACACAAGCAAAATAAAAACATGCACAGTAATTCGAAAAACGAAATATGACGTCGACACATTTAGCGTAGAGTAGAAAATAATCTCAAACCCAGAGAGTGCTCACAGTTATATGACGTCATTGATTTTCGCGTTAACATTGAATAAAAAGGAAATGTTGTCTAATCTTAATGGTTTGCGTGAAGAGTTTCTTGCATACAATTCTTCGGGTAGGGGCGAAGCCCCACCCCACGCGTAAGAACGTCTGAGCCCCCCCCCCCCTCCCCAACTCAAAAGAAATTTCTTCATCGATACTCTATAATAAAATTACCGCCTAATTAATGTGTCTAATCTAAAAAGTGGTTTTCTTGCAATTTCTTTAATGCAATTCTTCGGGTAGTGGCTAAGCGCGACACCAGTGTTTCTTTCAGACTTTTTCCTCCCCGGAGAGGGGTGGGGGTACTTGGAATTTTCGGGGGCGGACACTGGAAAAAGTATATAATTATATTTCGTTGAATGGGACGGTAGACATGTTTTTTTGGGGGGTGGGGGTGGGTGGGTGGGGGTGGGTGGGGGGTGGTGTGTGGGGGGTGGGGGTGGTGTGTGTGGGGGTGGGGGTGGGTGGTGTGTGGGGGGTGGAGGTGTGTGGGGGTGGGGGGTGGGGGTGGTGGGGGTGGGGGTGGGGGTACTTGAGGTTTTCGGGGGCGGGGGTAGAATTTTCGGGAAGGGGGCGGACACTGGAAAAAGTATATAATTATATTTCGTTGAATGGGACGGTAGACATGTTTTTTTGGGGGGTGGGGGTGGGTGGGTGGGGGTGGGTGGGGGGTGGTGTGTGGGGGGTGGGGGTGGTGTGTGTGGGGGTGGGGGTGGGTGGTGTGTGGGGGGTGGAGGTGTGTGGGGGTGGGGGGTGGGGGTGGTGGGGGTGGGGGTGGGGGTGTGTGTGTGGGGGGGTGGGATGGTTTTAGTTTAGAGAAAAGAGACAGCACTATCAGCCTAGCGCCCGTTGTACCCTTCCTCAACGGGCCATTTATCTAGTGATTCAAATAAGTTTAGAAGTATTTGGCTTGATGTCCCAATAGTGAACTGTATTCCGAGCTTGTTTCCCTAGTGATAACCCATCTTTTTTGTGCCACCTTTCCAATCAAATATCCAGCTTTTTCTTGGCCTGTATCATAATGCTGGTCATAGACTTGCTTGATTTGTGTATCACAATATGATTTTGAATGTTCTTCTGTAAATGAAATAAAGACAAAATATTTTGATATATTCTTTTGTGGAACTAGCAAGAGAAATACATTACAAATTTATATTACTATCTCTACTATTTCTTTACTATAACTAATTACTTTGAAAAGATAAAGCACTGAACATGATGAATAACAAGAAACAAACATTATCAGCAAAGATTGTAGATTTAAAATTGTGTTCATTCATATTGAAGATTAATGAAGTAGACTATCAATATTTACCCTCTTGATGGCTGATACTTTGATTTGATGTCTTTACTTTAAGCTTACACATCAGTCTCTGTGTTGTAAAATATGAAATAATATGCTTCAATAAAACTGTTTCAGTATATTAATTACATTAGATAAGTACATAGTTTTGAGCTCTATAACAATATGTGTTTCAATTATCATTCAAATATAATACCCTCTATGTTGTACAACTCACTGATTTATTAGAATTTAAGAAAAGACAATAATTAATAAAATATTTTGGATAAAAATCCATTATATTTATTATAACATATAATGCTATCTCTTGCTATAATAATTACTTTAAAAAATTGGTTATGCCTATAGTACAGTTACCTGAGGATGAAACTAGGCACAGTGTATAGTCCACGGAGACTGATTAATATCCCTTGTAATTGAACATCAGTTGTAGTTATGAAATCTGGATGGCCAAACACACACTCATAGTCCTGAAAAGCAATTTACACATAGATTAGCAAGAATATCTCACAAATTATTACATTAAAGTTAACCCCTATTTAGTGCAATCCATCAAAGTAGTAGCATTTTTGTTAAGTTGTAGACACAATACAAAGTAATGTTTGTTCTGTGATTTACATACTTTTATAAAATAGCAATCAAATTATATATATATATATATATATATATATATATATATATATATATATATATATATATATATATATATATATATATTCATTGTAAATTTTAGTTATGTCTTGCTATTAAATTTATTTACTCGACTGATCTAAACTCACTTTATTTAAACATAATATAGTGGATAAGTATAGTGATTTTATTATTCAGCAATAAATAGCAGGCCTAAAAAATTTTAAATAGTAACGTTTGCGAATGAACACATTAAATTCTATGTATTTCCATATCTATGTCTTTCCCAACTTGATGCATATTACTAACCAAGCATTAAACTATAGTCCTAAACCTGACTCTAATTACTATTTATTGGACAACCTGTATCTTTTTGATACCATGTTATAATATATTATTTTAAAAAAGAGCTTACCACTAATTACTAAAATCAATTGTTTTTAGTATTAACTGAGCCGCATACTATCTGCTGCTATTGTCAACAACAGAAATCCAGTATGTTGGCAAAGATTAGTGTCTAAGTTCCCTACAACCTCTTTCCTCTCGAGTGCGGAAAACACTGAAATCATTAATCATTATTTCATTATGCCTAATAGTTTAAAGGTAGTATTAAAGTAGTACTAAATAGTATGAGTCTTAGTTACTATAGGTCTAATGAATATTATTATTGTGTATGCTTACATGCTTTAAGTTTTATGCACAATATTGGTATATAACATATAGTCTATAGTATATAGTTAATATAGCCTAAGCTATAGAGTATATAGGCCTATAAGCCTAAATATAACAGCAGCTTGAATAATGCTCATTAGCATGCATTCACTATAAAATATAAAGATTAACAAATATTTCAATTTAATTTAATTCTAACTAATAATAGTAAATAGGCTTTTTTTCTTGTGGTAACAAATTTAAAGTAGCCTATAGGGCAGTATAGTTATAGTATAGGCCTACTAGATTCTATATTTAAGTATGTGGGCTTTTCATTCCAATGCACCACAATAGATACCACACATGATCAAGCTGGACCTCTAATCTAAAGATTTAATAATTGGGCCTAACAAACAGTGAAACTACAATAAAAATCATGTAAATTACTAATTTAACCTTCTTACCTCCGCTTCTCTAGATTCCTATTTTATTTCCTTCAAAGTTTCTTTTTATGCAGCCGTATGATTAGATTCTAGACTATATTCTAATAAACATGAAATAACTACTAACCAGAACACTAGATCTAAATTTCTATATTCTATGCAATATGTATATAACCTATAGGCATAATATTTATTCTAAATTCCTATGCGATGTGTCGTGAACTGTAGTTTCATGTTATTTTTTAATGGCGGAAATCAGTTTAAAATTTCGTTTCCTTCCTTTTGTTATTCTATTTATAGATTCAAAATGCTTAGAGTCGGAGCAATTATCATTGAATTAGTCGGGTGATCCACACAGGAAGGTGCTGGTATATCTATTAGTTACTCAGTGATCAGATCATTGACAGAAACAGAGATAGCCATTTGCATGGGGTGTTAAATACGCATGGAGTTTTTTAAGACACAGTAAACGGGTCAACTCGCTTGTCACGTGATTAGGTACACGTTAGATAATTACGGCTTTCAATTATTGTAGTCTAAAGTTGTTTCAGCACTCGTTTTCCTGTACCATTTATTTAGGTATTTTCTAGCACAAGCTACTCATGCAATAACTCTAAATTATACCAACGTTTTATGTCTTTCCAATTTGTATAGGTTTAAGGGCTGTTAGTGTTCAACAACCTTTCTTTCAGATTAGTTTTAGTTTGTAGTTTTAGATAAAAAAAATAAACTTGTTGTTTTCTAGCCCTGGAAATCAAGTAGAATGCACGCTCTCAACCAAATCATAGAAATGTACAAAGACTTCGGGCAGATGACTACCATGCATGGAATCAAACGAGCCTCTCACAGCGAACCAACATGGCTGAAGTTGCTATGGACGCTGTTTGTGTTTACCGGAATAGTCTGGGCCACGTACCAGATCATCCTGACGGTCCGGACCTACTACAGCTTTCCGTCCTCTACACAGCTCTCCATAGAAACCAGTCATACACTGGAGCTGCCGGCTGTCACTATATGTAACCTCAACCGGCTTCGGGTGTCCAAAACAGGGTTTCTTCAACCTCAGTTCGATGCGTGGGATAAGGTAAGCTGCATGTCAAATATTTCTCTCTCAATTTCTCTTGCTCTCCCACTTTCTCTCTCATTCCCGATTTATATATATATATATATCTGTATATATATATATATATATATATATATATATATATATATATATATATATATATATATATATATATATATATATATATATATGTGTGTTACGGTCAAAGCCCGAAGTCGGCGAAAGCACGCATTGGCCGGCCAATGTGCGCATTGGCCAATATTGCCTCACATTGACCGGTCAAAGTCCAAAACTTAACTTTATTTCAGCCTATGACCGGCCAGTCCGCGGACTGGCCATGGTGGACCGGCTAAAGTCCTAATTAGAAGATCATCTGGCTAGGGACGAACGGCCAAAGTCCGAATTAGAAGATCATGATCAGATTTATGGTTAATTTCATACCGTAAGGATCACGAAATGAAGTCTTTATTGATTATTAAAGTAAATGACAGAAACATTCAAATTATTTTATTGTACTTTAGTCCCAATCAATATTATCACTTGTTACAAAAAGTTGAACTTTTATGGCATTTAGAAATACATCGATGGACATCGTTGCCACAGGATCTACAAGAATGGGCTACACTGCAATATTTTTCACAAACTACACATGATCTGTTGACCATATTATTGTCACGCAACTGGTCTGGACGTTCCTACACGGCAGCAGATGTGTTGGCTGAGGATGTCGTTGTATTTATGGCAACCTCCATTTCTTGTTCAATGTTCTCAAGATCTTCCTCAGTAACTAAATTATCGAGAGCCTCTCTTTGTAGATTTGAAGTCCCACTTTTGTTTCGCATCCAAACAAGACTTTGTATGGCCATTGTTATATTCCTTGATGAAAAGAACCTTGGGTTTGGCTATGCCTTGGATTTCCGTGAACTAGTGTCAGTACAGGCAACATGTTCTTTAGTTCAGAAATGACTTGATTCACAAATTCTCTTCCATTAGGATTTGGATTATTTATTTTGGCAGCCATCTAGTATGTCTGTCACTTGGTCTGACGGCCCTTTTGGTCCATGTCGCATGGCATATAGAATGCCATACAAACAATACGTTACAATGAAACCGCAACCAGAATAATGAAAACGCGATCACAACTTAATCTAGATAGGACATTATGGCCAGTGCGCGCATTGGCTGGCCAATGGATGAAATACTTTGTCAATTTTAAACTTTTCGAGCTTTGGCCATCACGTCCCTGCCAGCGCGCGTATAGGCCGGACAATGTGGGAAATACGCTATCAAGTTAAAAGTTTTCGGACTTTGACCAGTTTGTCACGGCCAGTGCACGCATTGGCTGGCCAATGTACAAAATAAGCTCTCAGTGCTAAGCTTTTCGGGCTTTGGCCGCACTTCGGGCATTGACCGTTGACCGTAACATATATATATATATATATATATATATATATATATATATATATATATATATATATATATATAAGACAGGATAATATATAATTTGTTAAGGATAAGGGGAAAAATCGAATTTTCAATATCTACATAGAATTTGAGTGTTTGAAGTTTAAATTTTATGAATAAACTTATCATAAATGCATACAAATAAATTAATGTAACTCTTCTTCTTCTTCTTCGTTCTTAATTGAGAAATACGGTGGAGGATTCAGACAACAAGTCCAACTTCATGAACAAACCGGACTGTGGTCTCCAAGTTGGCAGGTGCCCCATATAATTTTTCCCTGAGTGGAGTGGTCAGTGGCCAGTGTCTGACTCGTGCCTGGCTATACAAAGTACATTCCTGAAGTACGTGCTCCGTATTTTCCGGGGCCTTGCCACAAGGGCACATTTCGCCACACCCAACCTTCAGTTTTTTGTGCATGTGTTGATTTAGTCTGTTGTGGCCTGTTCTAAGTCGAAAGATTATGTATTGTTGTTTTCGTGTCAGATTATAATAGCCATCATCTTTATTGTAGTGAGGGTGTGTGTCAGACCACATTTGCATTTCTTTGTTTTTTATTATTCTTTTTATTTCTTTTGGGTGTAGCGAAATTTCCGGTTGTGGTTTCTTTCCCCCAATTTTTGCCAGCTGGTCTGCAATCTCGTTACCCTGGATCTGGCAGTGGCCCGGGATCCACTGCAGCACAATTCTGCTGCAGGTATTTATTAGCCTCTCTAGTGCTGTCATAAGTGTTTAAATATAGGACTCTGGATTTTTTAGGGATTGCTGGACAGATTTGGCATCTGTAAGAAATATAATCTGACTATTTGGTGATTTAGGGTGTGCTGACAGGAGGTTTGCTGCATGCTCTATAGCTTCATTTTCTGCCCTAAAATTGTCGGATAGGCTGCCTGTGGCTATTGCCTTTTCCAGGCTTTCTCCGCTTGGCCATTCAATAAGGACGCCAGCCCCGCCATTTTTTGTGGCGTCTTCAGCTGAGCCATCTGTGAAAACTCTAATTCAGGTATTGCTGGGGTACTGATCCTTAATGTGTTTATTTGTTATTTTCTTTAGTTCTTCTTGATCATAGTCAGATTTTTTTCTATGGTGTCTATTGAGTCAATAATGGTTAAGTGACAGTGGGAGATCCAAGGCGGGGAGAGGTTTTGAGTTTGTATTGCTTCAGGAATGATATTTTCGATTTCATATTTCTTTTTTAGATTATTTGCTTCTTTGATGAAACTTGTTCTTTGTAGCCTGGTTGATTGACTGGGTTTCTCGAGTTTTTGCTTTAGGTTATGGTTTTCCAGTGCCTCTAGCTTTGTGTATTGAGTGAGGATTTTTTATTCTCTTCTTTCTTCTATTGAGCTAAGAGCGGCTATTTCCTCCATAGCTTTTATAGGTGTTGTTTTCATGGCTCCTGTCATTATTCTCAAACCAATGTTCTGAACTTTGTCAATTTTGCTAATATTTGTTTTTGCTGCTGAGCCCCAAGCCGAAGACCATATTCTAACGTAGGTCTCACATAGCTGGTGTAGGTTTTTTCAGGATGTGGTGATTTGCTCCCCAAATAGGCATGCTAGCAGGTTGCATTAGAAATATTCTACACAATAAAATAAACATGCATGGATTGATTTTAAATTATGGAAAGATAACATGCATACACATGATAATTATCAGTCGGCTATTTTTATTTTCGATCGTAGGACGACCTGACCATCCCACAACAGATGAGGGAACTGAGTGTGACCCTCAATGATTATCCCCACGAAATCAAACAAAGCCTAGGGCACGCAATGAATGATATGATGATGCAATGCACATTTGATTCAGTTCGTATAAATATTCCACATCAACTGCATTAAAGTATATATAATTTCATA